CAGGCTGTGGCTTTACCCGCCACACCACAGCGCCGGCCCCTAGGTACTTTCAACTTGTGAGTCAACTAGAACAACAGGTCACCATCATCCGCTTGCGTGAATGACAATGTTATTATACACTGACAGAGCAAACAATGAAAACCCACTGGGCAAAAGTAGTCACGTGGACAAACCCAACGTGAAGGAGAAAGAAATACACCCTGTCCTTTGGTGGGAGATATGGAAAAGTGACGACAAAGGCTGTGGACAGAGGAACTAAAAACTGCAGGCTGCTCTAAACCTGCAGTTTAGCAAAGAAACAAGCAAGCAAGCACACACTCAATATGTGCATTAAAAAACTAGAGGAAAATGGAGCAACTGTTGGCACTGGTAACGGGAGATTGCACGTAATTCTTCCCCTTCCTTATACTTTCTCTGCCTCTAAACAGTCTACCGTGGGCACGTTTACCTTCGCGGTAAGACACAGGGTTACTATGGATGTGAGGAGGGCTCCTGGAGCATGAACGAAGGAGCAGTTATTTCTGCATGAAGAAGCCAGAGAAGGTACCCGAAGGCAGAAAGCAGGCAGCTGGCGTTGAAGAATGGGACTTCTGCAGCAGGGAGGGAAATGACAAGGCCGTCTGAGATCCAGGAAGCAGAATCAGCCACTAGCCGGGCAGCGGGACTTGCCTCAAAGCCCTCAGGCAGGTGCACTGGTGGAGAAGTGACTGGGAGTGGTGACTCACCTTGTTGGGGGCAGTAGAAACGGGGAAGCAGGGGTGATTCGAGCAGTCAGATGTTAGGGACTTCCGCTGTATGAAATGGCTAACACTCGGTCATGTGGAAAACAGAAACTGCATATTGCTCCATCTGACACAAAGGAAGAAACTGAACCCAAAGAGGGAGAGCGACTTTCACAGTCACAGAGAAACCGAGTGGCAAAGCCAAGGACCCGTCCAGAGCAGCAAAGGCAACAAGGGTCAGCTCTCTGTGAGCACCCAGCTGAGGGCACCATTGGCTAGGGGCATCCCAGAGCTTTGGAAATGTCCACCTTGGAGGTTTTCACAGTGCAAACCATCAGGCTCCCAGAGAAGAAAACTGAACACTCACCACGACCATCACTACAGCAGGTGCACCTGTCTCTGCAACTAGGCACGAGGTCATCCATGTGGTCGGAGACAGCATCCCCTTCTCTGTGATGTCCGCAGCTCACAGCACAATCCCAGGGATGTGGTCATTGCCGCTTCGTGTCCTCCAAATCCTGTGCTGGCCATGTCTCCACTTCCACGTTCCTAGGCCGTGTGCTTTAGCCTGCTGCCGACCCTCTGTCTCCTACCCTGCTCAGGTCAGAAGGCGGCTCCCTCATCCTGTTCTCTGGGTAGCGCTCAGAGGAACCATGGTAGGGATAGGGGAGCCATGGAGAGGTCGTGACACTCAGGGGTGACTCCACTGAGCCACTTTCTGTACTGCATTTAGGAAACACAGGTTGTTAGAAGACAAACAAACAAGGGGCAAATCCATCCCTGTGCAGGGGGGATTTGGGAACAAGCATTAGCCTCCTAAGATGGTTCACGAGTTTCTATTTAGTCAGTCTCTCTCTCTCTCTCTCTCTCTCTCTCACACACACACACACACAGACCCCTTTCTTACAGAGCACCAGGTTGAGCAGGTCAGAAAGGAATAGTCGCATTGTTCAAGAAACTTCCCCAGGAAGTGCCTTCGCTTCCCTCCCCCTACCTGAAAACAAGATTCAGATTCACCCCGATTTTGCCCCAGTACCAGTCCGGCTCCAAATGCTCACAGCAGGGCCATTCAACACACACAAATCATTTCTTCCTCTCTTCCCATGAGATCATAATCCCCGGGCTCTGCTCCCAGTGCAGCCTGTGTCAGGCCCCAGCTACTGAGAAACGCCCTGGAAAAAGCAGGTCCTGGAAGGAAAGCCCTCCTTGAGGGGCTGCAGCCTCCAACTCCCACAGCCATCGGCAGGCATGGGAGGGGCAGACGCGGGACATGGAGGGTGCCTTTCCTAAGTCCTCTGCACACTGTAGGAGACCCCGGCCCAAAAGCAGCTGGCTCACGGGTGGACTCTGCTGGAGTCCGGGAAGACACTTCTGCCCCTTGACACCCAGGCCCTCAGTGCACCACCTGCAGTGCGCTCGCTCCTCCTGGAGGGGGGCTTCTCCATTCACCTCCTGGTCTCCCAGGGAGAGGGGACTGCCCCCCTGAGTTGCCTCCCGCCAAGCTGCAGGCTTGGGGCCCCCTTGCCTTTCTGTCTCTTCCCAGCTCTCGTCTCCACCAAGTAGGGCCCCTCCTGGTGTGGCTTGTGATCCCAAAGCCTCAGTTGGGAGGCTGCTTCTCTGAGTCTTTCCTGCTGTCAGAGAGGCCAGCTAAGAATAACTGCACCCAAGATAGCACTTGAGATGATTGAGGTGGGGCTCAGCCCCGAGGCAGGGGGATGGACTAGCTGACCTTTGCAAGTTCCTCCTACTCCTTAGACATCTCATTCAGATGAAACTCCTGGCTCCTGGCTTCAGACCAGCCCAGCCATTTTGGGTGTGAACCAGCATGGGGAAGATCTTTGTCTCTGTCTCTCTCCATAACTATGCCTTTCAAATCAATCAATCAATCTTAAAAAAAAAAAAAAGCAAAACAAAACCTTATATCTTGATCACAGCCCCATCCAAATGCATCACCTTCCCTGTCTACCCCCGCCCTCGTCCTGTCCCCATGAGACCTGGGATCCTGCCTTTTCTGTCCCCCAGTTCTTGGGTGATGTCTGTTGGAGGAGTTACCAGGGTCTGTCTTGACTCACAGACAATTCAGCCACAGCTTTACGCTAAGAGGGCAGCACCTGAATCAGTAAGTGACAGATGGGTCAGATTTGCAGCCTGCACTGCAGTTAGAAAACATAATGCAATCAGAGGGGAAGTCAATGAGCTCACTCATTACTGCTCAGTCACTCCCTGCTTCCCGTCATTCCACACTCCAGGCAAGCATCTCTAAGGCCACAATGTGGGGACCTGGGCTGGCACTGTGGTGTAGTGGGTAAAGACGCCACCTGCAGTGCTGGCATCCCATATGGGCACCACTTTGAGTGCCAGCTGCTCCACTTCTGATCCAGCTCTCTACTTTGGCCTAGGAAAGCAGTAGAAATGGTCCAGGTCCTTGGGCCCCTGCATCCATGTGGGGGACTTGGAGGAAGCTCTTGGCTCCTGGCTTTGGATCGGCCCAGCTCCAGCCATTGCGGCCATTTGGGGAGTGAACCAGCAGATGGAAGACATCTCTCTCTCTCTCTCTCTCTCTCTCTCTCTCTCTCTGCCTCTCTATAACTCTGACTTTCAAATAAATAAATAAATCTTAAAAAAAAAAGTGGGAACCTTCAGAGGGGCTCTGCTCAGATCTCCTAACATATGTTGGCTTTTAAAGCAAGCAAAATCAATCACATAGGTAATTAATGTGTGGGAAATATGGAAACCAACACTTGGCTCCCAGCTGCCCATTTCCCGTGGGATTTAAGCATTCAGCCAGCTGGATGAAGCCATCAGGTGTCCCGATGCTATTGGAAACAACCAGAAAAGGGGCCTTCACTGCCAACCCAGACCAGCAGTGTTACCCATCAGACTCACCCGGCACAGTGCCACTGGTGGAGAATGATTTGTCTGAACTGGCAAACTGGAATTCTTAAATGTTTGAGGTGGTGCTAGAAGTGACTTAAGATCGATTTGTTTGTTTATGCATTTATTTACTTGAAAGGCAGAGAAACAGGGATAGAGAAAGATTGTTCATTCACTGGTTTATGCCCCCAAATGGCCACAGCAGCCAAGACCGGGGCCAGGCTGACGCCAAGAGTCAGAAACTCTATCTCGGTATTTCCTATGGGTGCAGGGGCCCAAGCACTTGGGCCATCTTCCTCTGCCTTCCCAGGCGCATTAGCAGGGAACTGGATTGGAAGAGGAGCAGCCGGCCCTCGAACTGGTGCTCAAATACAGCCGTGGGTGACCCAAGCAGCAGCCCTAGCTGCTGGGCCACAACACCGGCCCCTAGAAGTGTTTACAAAGTGCCGCATGCTCTTTTCAAACACACATTTTAAGGGATTTCATTTGACATTCTAAAATGTTGTATTTTTATATTCCTCTCTTTCCCCTAAATGGTCTAATCCACAAATGTTGATCAAATGACCAAAAACAACAGTGATGGCCTTGGGCCCCCAGGATACCCATCTGGGCCTGATTTTCTCCAGGAACGTAGACAAGGTCACTGCCTAGTATCCTTCTGTCTTCAACATCTTGGAAGTAAGCAGCCAATGCCCCTCGCTCAGTAAGGCAGCCATGGGGTTTGGGGGCCCTGCTGAGCTCCGTGCCAACCTCCCCACGCCCACTGCCCCGTATTGCCAACACTAGCTCAGACATTACAGACACGGGCAAGGCTCACTCTCCCACTGAGGGAGCTCGGAGTTGCTGCCTGTCCTTAGAGGTACATGGGGAAGGCCAGAGCAGTAGGTGGCATGGCCAGCCTCATCCTCTGGGCCCCTGAGGCCTTGTTGCCTGCTCCCGTAAACCATCCTGACTCCAGTGGAAATCCAGGAAAGTCCGTCCATACTGGCTTTGATTTCTAACTCATTAAGTAAGCATCCTCCTCTCTCTCCCAGGCAGCCCACTCTGAAGGCTCCTCAAGCACATTTAAGCAATGTCCTCTCACACCCTCTAGTGGCGAGAGGGTAACATGACATCCTGCGGGAGCCAGGAGGCCCCCATCTTATCTTGGAGAGGGTAACTTCAGGACACTCAACTTGGGGCAGGAGGTTAGCAGAGAAAGAGGGCGTGGACTTTTGCCGCACCCCACATCCGATAGCATCCTGCAGTGCCCCCAGTCCTTCCTGCCTAGGAAGCGCCCTGAGAGAGGCGTGGACAGCAATGCCAGATCAGCAGCACAGGAATGGGAGGAAGCCATTTCTTTTCTCTCACTGTATTAGCTACTTAGAATATTCCAGCAAGAATAACCACATCACCCAAGCTGTATGTTATTTGGCAAGGTTTTATTTCTCGGCAGTAAGGAATGAACCGGGCAAGCCTCTGACTCTACTGTGAATGTAGCAGATGCAGTTAGTACAGCCGATGTCTTCCAATGGGACTCCCTGGGCTCACGGAGGCAGGAAGGAAGCCACTCCTCCCCGGCTGGCTCTCAGGAGAGCTACCGCTGAGACTGAAGCCCCAGTCCAGATCTCTGAAGTCAAGAGGTTGTGGTCAGGGGGGCTCACAAATTGCCCTTGTTTTTTCCTGTTCCCATTTCCAGACCAAACTGATAGGCGTAGGTGATTCGGGATGCTCAGAGAATCCAGCTACCGTAACACCAGTCTCTCCCTGGAGCCCTCAGCCATCACCCACACTCCCTTTTGTCCGTCTTGGAGAAGTAGCTCCCTGCTCTGGTTCCTGTGGCTGCATCACAGACCTGCCCAGACTTTGGGGTACATTTCACCATGCCCGTGGGTTCTCTAAGTCAGAAACTGTAAAAAGGCATGTGACGTGGCAGAGCTGTCGCTGCCGCACACGCCTCCCGCCTCGGCCGGGAAGATTCACCCTAGAGCTGACTTGAAGGCGAGGAGCTGGGGTCCCTCAAAGCGTGGGACCTCAGCAGGGCATTTACACACGACTTCTCCGTGCGCTGCTTGGGCTCCCTCACAGCATGGTGGCGGCGTCCCAAGAGTGAGCCTTCCAACGGACCAAGCCTGGAAAGTCACATGCCATCACTTCTGCTACGGCCACAACCCACACATTTTCTGCTGGGTCCCCAGACAGCCGCCTTGAAGCCACTGCTAGCATGAAGAGCAAACCGCTCTCATTTTCTTCCCCCTTCCAACAGCTCTCGTGCCCAGAGGATTCTGGGACTTGTTCAGGGTAAACCAAGTCAGAAGCCCGAGTATCCCCAGATGCCTCCTGCTTGTCCAGCCGTCACCCTCACAAGCTAGCGCATCCCTCCCGCCTCATGGTCAGTGCCACGTCTCAGGGGGACACGGGGACCCTCTGTACCAACAGCCAGGAGGTTAATTACTGGCTCCACAATGTTCAGTCACCTAAGCCTTTCCCCTCAAAACAGAAGGAAACAAAGCCCAAACCAAAAACCCCTGGTAGACCCAGCTGGCCAGCCCTGGGTATAAAAGAGTCGGCTGAAGCTCAGACTTCTACAACAAAGTTAAGTGGGAAGAGAAAATCTCTGAGGACGTGGTCACACAAAACCCTAAAGACGGGGGCAGCGCTGTGGCGTAGCAGGTAAAGCCACCATCTGCAGTGCCCAGCATCCCATATAGGTGCTGGTTCAAGTCCCAGCTGCTCCTCTTCCGATCCAGCTGTCTGCTATGGCCTGGGAAAGCAATGGAAGATGGCCCAGGACTTCAGGACCCATGTGGGAGACCTGGAAGAAGCTCCAGGCTCCTGGCTTTGGATCAGCCCAACTCCAGCTATTGCAGCCATTTGGGGCGTGAACCAGCAGATGGAAGACTTCTCTCTCTTTCTCTGTCTCTGTCTTTCAAATAAATAAATAAATCTTTAAAAAAAATAAAAAGAAAACCCTAAAGATGGCTTTTGTACATAGCACCCTGGAATCCCAAACTGGAAGGAAGTTGACACCCACAGCGAGCCCTGTTTTGAGACCTGGCTGGCAAGAATCCAAGCTTTAGAGAGAGCGTGGGGAGGAGGTGGGAGGCCAAGAGAGAGAGAGAGAGAGATCTTCCATCCAGCAGTTTACTCCCCAAGTGGCCGCAACAGTGAGGTCTGGACCAGGCTGAAGCCAAGAACCCCACCCTGGCCTCCCACGTGGGTGGCAGGAGCCCAAGCAGTTGGGCCACCCTCCACTGCCTTCCCAGGCATATCAGCAGGGAGCTGGACCAGAGGCACAGCAGCCGAGACAGGAACAGGCAGTCTGATATGGAATGCCAGCCTCAAAGGTAGCGGCTTAACCCATTGCACTACAATGCCCCGAAACGACACATTTTAAAAATGCAGGAATGACTTTCTTCCTATCAAAGATGATGCTTTCATTAAAAGAACTTCCTTCAAAGGTTCCAGTGTTGGTTTACAGATTGGCAGCAAAATGTGAAACCAAGGATGGGGCTCACAGCCAATCAAAGGCGAATCCCAAATTGAGACAAACTCCTGCAGGTGACCATGCAGCACTCTGCAAATGGGATCTGCGTTCCTCCCAGGCACCTGTACGTGAGGACAGACCGGGAGTCCGCTCAGTGGGCTGGGTCTCTGAACACATGTGCAGATGGCATGCTTACCAGCCCTGGAGGAGATGAGGCGCCTGGAGACCACAGTGGCAGGTGGCAGAAGAAAACAGCCGGCCAGGGCGGGGCCGTGTCTGCAGGTCCCGAGAGCCCAGAGGTTTTCTCTCCAGAGAAGAGTTTGAGGGAGATGAGTCTGACAGGAGCACCCGAGGGCAGGAGGAGACAGGACAGCAGCCAGGGCACTGTCACAGCCAGGACACTCAAGGCAGGCCCGAGGCGCCAAGGGTCTGTCTCCAGGAGAAAACCAATTCTACAAGAAAATGGGATTTACAATGATCAGGCCTCGGATTCTCCTGCCAGTCTTCCCCTGGCCGGAATAGGGGTTCTGAAGAACCATCTTTTCTTGGGTACATCTTCAATCTCTCTGCGGCATCTAGAGATCCGTGTTTTTAGGGTAGAGTCGGTTAAATCCAAGACTGCGGCATAACCTAACATTGATAGGGACTGATACATTTTTTAAAACAAACCCATGGGTCCTTAAGCCTGCAAGACCAGGGCCATGGAGGCCCGGCACCCCCAGAGCCACCCAGCTCCACCCTGACCCGGCTGTGAATCCGGGCCGTGCCTCCCCCAAGCAGAGGAACCCTTCTGGGTCCCAGCCGCCTCAGAAGTGAGCGCCAAACCCCGGTGCCGCCTTGGGAAACGCTAAACGCCATCCAGGGGCGCGGGCAGCGAGCATGGGTTGGCCACAGGGTGGGGGCCCGCGGTACTGGGGGCCCCGGGGTCCCCGCCTCACCACTGAATTCTTCATGGGAGGGGGGTGGGGGGCGTTTTCGGGCTGCTAGGGAGTTCCCGGCACCTGCTGCGCCCGGGGGCGGCGGGGCGGCTACCCTCCCGGTTTTCCAGCTGAGGAAGCGAGCTGGGGAAACTGAGTCCGCGAAGGAGGCGGCCGTTCGCGGCGCGCTCCTTCGCCTGCCCGGCGAGGGCTGCCGCGCTCGGGAGGGCGCGCGGCTCCTTTTGTCTGCAGCGTCCCCGCCGCCGCCACCGCCTCCCCGCGCCCGCGTGCACCGCGGCCCCCACCTCTCCCCTCCCCTCCCCTCCCCTTCCCCCCCCTTCCCCCGCCCGCCGGGAGCGGCGGGGCTGCGGCGCCGCAGCTGACACGGATCGGCTGCTGCTGCCGGGCGGAGGCTGCGCGCCGCACACCCAGGCGCGCGGCGATGGCCACGGCCATGGCGCTGGCGGCGGCGCGGGGCGGGCTGCGGCGGCGGCGGCGGCGCGCGGCGCGGGGCTCGGGCTGACTGCGGGGCCGGCGCGGATGGCGGGCGGCGCGGGCTGGGCGGGCGCCCCCGCGGCTCTGCTGCGCTCCGTGCGCCGCCTGCGCCAGGTGTTCGAGGTGTGCGGCCGCGACCCCGACGGCTTCCTGCGCGTGGAGCGCGTCGCGGCGCTCGGCCTGCGCTTCGGCCAGGGAGAAGAGGTAAGGTGGTGGTGGCGGCGGCGGCGGCCCGGCCGGGCCTCGGCACCCTCCCGTGCCCCCTCCCGCGGCCGCTCCCCGGGCCCCAGGCCGTGGCTTTCTTCGCGGGACAAATCCCTCCTGTGCCGACCCTTCCCTCCGCGGCAGCTGAACACCTGGAGCCCGCGGTGCCCCTGCGTAGTCGGACCCCGGCTTCCACCCTTAGCCCCGTGACGGGAGCGCCACGCGTCACGCCCAGGTGGCTGCCTGCCCGCCTCTCCTCCCCGGCAGTGCGGGTGCCCGCGAGCGGACTGCAGACCCACTTGGTGTTTGGGGGGAAAGCAGCTGTCAGAAGCTGGCTTCAGGTCGCCACCCCGTGCTGCGGAGACCACACGCCGGGTCTGTGCGCCCCCGCTGGGCCTGGCCCAGGTGGAGAGGGGCCCAGCGGGGGCGCGCCGCAGCCTTGGCCCCTTGGATGCACCCACCCTGCTTAGAACATCCTGCTTGCGGCCAGGCTGGACTCTGAGCCCAGTGCCCGGTCACCTCCCGTTGGAGCTCTGATGGGCAGGCCTGGCTGGCAGCTGGCTGTGGTGGCTGCCGAAGGCCTGCCAGAGCCAAACTTAGCGATGGTAGTGAGCGGAGTGGTTTTTTGTGCTGAGGCCCATCTGGGGGAAGGCGGCACCGGTGCCTCTTGTTAGCAGGGCTGGACTCAGAAAGCCGGTACTACGGGTGGGTGGACAAAAGCCCAATAACCGCGTGCCCTCTTCCTGCCATCAGCGCTGGGACTGGTGACTGTGCCTTAGGGAAGGACAGGGAGGGCACTGCGCGCTCTGATATGGGCACAGTTCTCTTCTGGGGACACGAGCCCTGAGCAGCTTCCATGGCTGCCTAAGACCTAGGGCCCTGCACAGAAAGCTTTGGGCCTTAGACCTCAGGTGGGCGCTGGCCGAGATCTTGTTCCCAGGACAGATGGGTCAGGACTGTGTGTGTGTGTGTGTGTGTGTGTGTATGTATATGTGTGTGTATATATATATATACATACAGATATATTTAAAGTTTGTTTATTTTCATCTACGCCAAAGGCAGAGCAACAGAGAGAGACAGAGAGAGATCTTCCATCTACTGGTTTGTTCCCCAAATGCTTGCACAGCCAGGACCCGGCCAGGACAAAGCCAGGATCCCAGATCTCCACGTGGGTGTCCAGGGTCCAGGCACTTGGGCTGTCACCTGCCACCTCTCAGGTGCATCAGCAAGGAGCTGGAAGCTGAGAGGCTGGGGCCCAGAAGAGCACTCCAGGCTGGGCTGCAGGTGTCCCGAGTGGCGGCTTAGCCCCCTGTGCCACAGTGTCCGCAGCAGGCCTGGCATCTTAGAACAGGAGAAAAGCCAGGTGATGGCCTGGTCGGCCCGTGCCTCTCTGTTACCTGGCAGGTGGGAGGTGGGAGATCACCATCTGTCCATGAGTGCCTAGGAGGCTCCGGGAGCAGTAAGTCAGAGTGGGGCAGGTGTCACTCAAGAAGCCTCGGCTTCCCCTTAGGGCCCGCCCTCCCCTCTGCGGGGCCTTGCTAGGGGCTTTTGCTCTCCCACCGAGATCCTTGGGCTCCCTCAAGGATCAGCCAAGCCCCTCTGCTTGGCTAGTGCCTAGCATCTGGGGCCGGTGAGCAGCCCCTTCCTCTGGGGGCATCAGCTGCAGGCAGGAGGCAGAAGCTGCCCAGCTCAGGCTGAATCCTGCCGTCCCAGAACCCCAGAGCCTCAGCCAGTGCCCCCTCAAGCTTCACCTTCTTATCCCGGGCCAGACCCTCGCACACTACCTGCACGTCACGTCATCACCACTCTTCTGCGCAGGGACTCACGTGGGTCTCCGCGCTACGTGGCAGCCTTTAAATACTTAAAGCAGAGCTCCTGCCCCTTCACGCCTCTCCACCCACTCACGCCTGTTTTCCTTTCTGCAGGCTATTTCTGTGCCGCCCTGGAGCTGCCCTCAGCTATTTGCCTGGCCCCATTTCAGTGCCAGCGACATGAAGGCGTTGAGCCAGGAGACCCCCGCCCCGCCCCCCGACCTTTCCAGCCTGTGACGCATGCGCACAGGTGGCTCCGAGCGGGGCCGCCTGTGCAGTAGTGCACCGTGCTGTGCACTCACAGGAGGGTTCTGGCCCCTGAGACCCCCAGGGCCTGCTTCAGAGGCCTCTGGCAAGGCAGGGAGGCTGCGCAGGGGGACGGCCAGGGATTTCTTGCCTTTTAAGTCTAATCGTCCATTATTACGGAAGCAGTTGATACGTACTACGGGGAACTAGAGATGTGGACAAGAAAAATCACAGTAGTACACTCCCCTCTCCCAAGCAGCCCTGTGGTGACACTTCGGGCGGATCCTTCCGGGGCTGTTTCTAAGCTTAGATGTAGATTTCCTGCATAAAATGAGATCATGCTGTGCATACTGTTTTGTAACCTAATTTCTGTTCCAGGAAATGATCATTATTTTTCTGCTTCAGTAAATTTTCATCTCATTTCATATGCAGACCTTTTTCAGATTTCCCCGTCTGACCTCAAAATGTCCACTTGTGCTGTCATGTTCAAGCCATGCTCCTCTCTGGGAAAGTGCCATGCGTCGGGTTGTTTGGCCCCTCGGCCTCGCTCACGCTAATGCAATTTGGTTTTTTTTTTGTTTTTAGTTTTTTATATCTTGACTGTTGAGATCAGGCTGTGTTTGTGTCAATAGTTTCTTGACTCTGAGCCTGGCATTCCCTGACTCATTCCTATTAAATTCCACCTTGTTCATTTCATCTTACTGTATCAGCCCAGAGAGTGAATTTAGCAGCCTGCCTCTGTCACTGTCAGATACGGAGCTGCGGTAGCTGGAGAGGCAGTGTTAGATGCCACAGACTCCCCAAGGCTGTTTGAGAAGGCAGGGCAGGACCACGGACAGGGCCCTGGGGCGCTCCTTGGGGCAGGTCTGCTGGGACATATTTGACATCTCTACCCACTGCACACCAGATTCACGGATGCGTCACACAACAGGGGTGTCGCTTCCCCCACGGCGGGGCTCTCTTCCAGAATGCTCCGTACTCTGTCCGTTCCTGTTGCATTTGCTTAAAGAGCAGGGCATGAGTTCCTCAACCCACCAGTGCTTCAGGGTGGGCCATTATCATTTATTAGACATGGGCTTGGTGTCCACATTTTAGCAGCTATTGCCAGAACACCAGGGACACTAGGATCGCGTGCTCTGCAAATCCAGAGTATGCTAGGTTGTAGAGCAAGCAGTAAATACCTGTAAGGCCGTGGTTGTAGATATACGCCTGACTGAATCAATTAATAATTAAAGGATGAGGAAGTAATAGGAAAATCTCCCATAGAGGAGAAATCCAACTAATTTGTGTAGACAGTTCTCCCAGCAAGGAAGGGGAAGGTTCACGCCCCAGCCCCACAGCATAAGCTGTGCAAAGACACGGGACGGACAGGGGTGGAAGAGCGCCTTGACAGTGGGGAAAGGCGGTGTGGCCTGGGGAGGAGGTCACGGGCAGCGTCGGCAGCGATGAGTCACGCCGAGAGTGTGTGCCCTTGACAGGGCGTGGACATGAACCTCACCCGGGCTCTCCCCCCAAACCCATAATCCTGGTCTGGTCTTAAGAGAAACGTCCAGACAGAGCCCAGCTGTGGGCATCCTACAAAATGCTTGACCAGTCCCCCGCAGGGTTGTCGAGCCCATCCCAAAGGAGAGAAGCCTGAGGACCCCTCACGGCCCAGGGGAGCCCAAGGAGATTGACAGCTCACTGTCCTGTGGTGTCCCGGGTAGGATCCGGAATGAGGAGTGATGCCAGGGAGGAACCAGGAAGACCTGAGTGGGCAGTGTTACATATGCTGGGGCTTCAAGAAGGTTCGTGGAAAAATGGAATTAAAAGACACGTTTCTTTTGTTGCAGAAAACCTTGAACTCAGTGCCGTTTTTCCGTAATATACATTTTTTTTTTCATGAACTTTGTGAAGACCCCTCATATGCGTGGGTTTCAAACAGCAGAATAAATCTACCATGTGATTCCACTTTCTTAACTTTGTGAATGTGCCCTCATGTATCTTAGGTTGGCCTCTGAGATTCCCCTAATTTATTGAGTCAGAGAGAGAGAGAGAATGGAATTTGATGGGGATATTTATTTTAAGGAATGCAGAGATGGGGGACCCCATTGTCTCACCCTGAAAAGTCTGGAAACAGAACTGTGACAGGAACATAATGCCACAGCTCAATATCCTTTGTGGCTTTTTTCTTGCTATCCTCTCTAGGCCATTGTTTACTCTTCCATAAAATGGGGGTGATAGTAGTCCCCACCCCCAGGGTTGCTGGGGGCTGTTTTTGTGCCCGTGTCTGCACACAAAGTGGGTACAAGGTCAGAACTGCTGCGGCTGCCCTCTATTTTCTAAGCACTTGCTTCAAATTTGCTGAAATGTGGACACCAACCCCCATGTCTAATAAGGGCTAATGACCCACTTGTATTTGAGAGGCTGTCTGGGCTGGGGATTTACTGGAAATCCAAGACAAGACGTGGGGCCATTCTCTGCTGCTGTCAGCCCGCTGGCCTTGTCCAGCCCCTCCTGCGCCTGTTCAGAGAATGGGAGACCTTTGCTGCCCGCCAGGGGTGCCTTGGACCCCACCTCCCTGCCTGGTGTTCCTCTCCCTTTTCCAGCCTGGAGACCATCCTTCTTGCCAGAAGAACAGGAGCAAAAGTGGTTGAGTGGGTGCCTGCCACCCGCTGACACAGCACCCTCTCCCATGGGCCCGAGCTTCCTGCTCCGAGTGGTGCTCGGCTCCCGCTGCCCAAGGGGGTCGCTGAATGTTCGGGGGGATGACTCAGCCCCAGCCAACTGGAGAGCAGTCTGCCATTTCTCCCTTCTTTGCAGCTGCTCCTGGATATGGCTGGAAGCCCCTGGGGCTGTGGGCCTCCTGTTCATGTGGAGAGAGAGGCGATGATGATCCCAACTGGGCCCCTCAGGCCCCATGGCCTCTCTGGGCTAATGAGTGGCAGGAGGGAAATGCCAGCA